CCCAACAATGGGACTTTTAGGACCTAGCCCACGCGAGTTAGATTCCGCCTGACGTTAAATAGTAATAAATAAATAAATAAATATACGTTATATAGGGAGGTCGGACCACCCGGACACGTGCCGGACTCTGTCCCCGACTCTACCCCGATGTAACGAATACTCCAACTGGCCAACTAAACTTGGCTGGGTGTTCGCTGGTTGGTATGCTATGATAAGAAGAAGACTATCGGGTTGTTCACTTGGAAGTGAACTCGTTACTTGTATCAAAGATGTCAAACTAATATGATAAGATTGATAACTAAGTTGACCACGAAGCTCCTATCTGATGGCAGACGTGCCAGTCTTATATAGAACCTTCGTTCTCTCTACATCGCCTACATCACCTGTCAATGTAGTCGACCTCCTATCGCTAACATCGATTGTCGATACAGGCGATGCGATTGATCACGTGACTATATACACGAGAAATCCTTGGATCGCTTAGCTAGTCTAAGCATCCCTATTTGCTATAAGAAACCTGGATGTGCCCGTCGAGGGTTGCGCCTCTTTATTATGACAAGTATCACGTGAGCACGTGATTCGTGACACCCGAGTCTCGGACCGATCGAACTCCGTATTAATCTGAATTAATCTGAATTAATCTGATTACTTAGCGATTTAATTTGATTAAGTGCTATTAATTAAATCAAATCAAATCATTTTCTACGCTGAGTGGATTCTTACTAAGAGCAATAAAGTCCGCATCATACCCCTCCTTCAACAACCCAGATTTTGGAGCTTTCGGTCCCAATGTCTCGGGGGCATTTGCAGTTCCAGCTTCTATGGCTTGAAGTGGCGAAAGCCCCGCCTCGACTGTATACTTGAATTTAATGCCATTCATACCATGATTCCAAGGTATATCCAAAGAACTAATCAAGATATCCGTACCAATTACTATACGCACACCAGCTTTGACAGCTTTTCGGTATCATTCTTCGTAGTGCCTTTTTACCTCGCGTATTTGTTCGTACTGCTTAGGAGACCAAAGTTCAGGATGTTTGATCAAGAATTCTAAGCTACTTCGAGTTACAATCAATAAGACGTCTTTCTCGACTATCAACTTTATAGCGTCGTCTTCAAGGAGTGTAGCGTACTCGATCGTCCTACATCCTGCCTTAATAGCGGTAATAATACTTGCATTCGCATGATAATAAGCCGCAACCGTAAGGCGATTCCTTCCCGCTTTAGCAACAATTACAGCCATCTCCTTATCGCTAAACTACTGCGTCAAAATATCGTCTCTATTACTAGAAACACTACTACTAGCAGCGATTTTGATAACTTTGGCCCTATTTCGGACCTGTACTCGAACCGCTCTGATACACTTATCGACACTATTATATAAATGACAAGGAAGGCCGTAAGAAATTTGATTCTGGAAGACGTTGAGTAGTACTATTCTCGTATCTCCGTAGCCGGCAGTAGTACTGAGAATACTAACAGTAGAATAAATATTAGGATCTAGTAACCAGCCCTCCTTAATAACCTTCGCGAGTTACACGCCGTATCCAGAGAGCTCGCGTATAGAAGTAAACCTAGCATTCAACGTTGCAACGACGTCTCGGGCACATCTAGCCCTAGAAACTGCCATATAAGTCGAAGCCATAATGTCCGGGCTATATATTATTATCCCGTTAAAATGGACATAACAGTCCCATAACCCGGGCATGAGAATTAGGACCCTCACGGGTGTTAGGTCTTTATACTTAGTAGCCAGGTCATTTGTTGCACCAACAGCGATGATTCTTTTGTCGCAAAATACAAGTGTCGCATCTTTGATCGGCTGGCCGCGACCGAGTATAAGGAGCTCGGCATCAATTCTGGAGTAGTTTGTTTGAGGGATTACCCGCATGATGGCATGCAATGTGAATTTCAATTCCGATAGCTGTTAATTGAGGAAAAGATCAGTTATAGACAGAACCTTTTTATATAGGGTGTTGACGATGGGCCAAAGCGGGATTTGTATTTTAACGTGGGTTATTGTACATAGAAACAGGGGAACCTCATGCATGTGGATCTTTCCAACCGCTCTCTTATGTTTGCTTCTGGGAAAAGCCAATCGGAGGAATTTTGCCAGGATCATAGAAAGAAGTAACTTGACTCCATATGCTGATAATGTTTTGTTTTTCGTAAAGTATGCATGAGCTATGCACGGCATTCAGTAGAACACAACATTCCATAACAAGGTCTAAGCAGCAAAAGCGTGTGGCATTCATATACATAGTCCGCTTGGACGGGAGAAAACCCTCGTTTTGATCTACTCCCATGTGAAAGAACACACAAGAAAGTCTTAGTAAAATCAAACCTCATACAAAAATTCTGCATTCTCCTTATTACTTGAATCCAAAAGCTCCCGATTACATATCCATCGCTTGATAACTCGTAACATTTGGCACAGCCGTTTTGTTTTGTTTTGCGGCTTTTGCCAAGTATATCACCATTGGATGAAAATAAGGTGAACGATACATCAAGTTTACTGAAATATCAAAGTAAGTTCAGCGGGAACACGATGAGGGCATTCTTGGTAGTAATATATATGAGCTGTATATCCTCAGAAAAGTTGAAATGATGGAAAGATTTGGGATGCATCCTTGAGCACCAATGGTGTTTTCGAAGCAGCGATTCGTTGGTGAACATTGTGCGGAAGGTAGGAGCCGAGATTGGGTTGGTTGCACATTCATAGCAGGCCATTGGATGGGGTAAATACATCGCTTTTGTTTTGCATTGCATGGGTTCGCATGTGTTGGTTTCCAACGTACGAAACAACCGGTATATTTTTGACCAGATGAATGTATTCACACCATCGCTGTTATTTTCTCAAATTTTCTTTCCGTTTTTAGAATAATTCAAATTCCATGGCTCTGTCGAATAACTCCCCCTCAGAGCGAAGTCCGCTGTTAAGCGAGTCCCACAACGATGGCGTGACAACAACAGAACACACCGAGAATGGAAGCAGTGCCTTCGATGATGATGAAGAAATGTCAAATACTGAGCTCCTGAGTATTTTGGCCGGTGTATACAGTAGGTGATCTTTGGACGTGTTCCTCTTATCCGGTCTATTCTTACCACTGCAATAACCAATTTTTTGAGATGACATTACTGACTTTAACCCTCCTGTAAAGTGGGAGCCTTCGTCGCAGCTCTAGACTCAACTTTAGTAGCTACCCTGTCAGCTCCAATCTCAACGTCCTTCAACAACATGCCCCTACTCGGTTGGTTGGCCTCCGCCTTCTTCATCGCAAGCACAGCATCCCAACCATTATCTGGAAAGTTGACCGATATCTACGGCCGAAGGAACGGTTTGATATTCGCCAGTCTTATCTTTGCACTTGGAAACCTGCTCTGTGCACTCGCCCACAAAGAATGGGTTCTCATCCTGGGACGAGTCATAGCTGGACTAGGCGGGAGCGCTATAGGACTAATTGGCTCATTCATAATTTCTGATCTTATTCCTCTTAGAAAGAGAGGAATGTGGCAAGGTATCGGAAACATATGTTATGGGATAGGTTCCGGGCTTGGAGGGCCTTTTGGAGGCTGGGTCAATGATACGATTGGTTGGAGGTGGGCATTCGTCGTACAAATTCCTCTGACTCTTCTTTCGCTTATTTGGGTCGTAATCAAGGTTGATATCCCACTAAAAGAAACAGACCAGTCAAAAATCAAGAGGGTTGATTTTCTGGGTGCGTTTTTGCTTGTTGCCTCACTTGTGCTGATGTTACTTGGTCTCAATTCAGGGGGGAAATATTTTGCCTTGGATCCACCCACTTGTTCTTGGGGCTCTTTGCGTTTCTGTGGTGTCACTTGTTCTTTTCATCCTCGTGGAAGCGAAATGGGCCCTTGAACCTATCATCCCGGTCCGTTTACTGCTGAATCGGACGATTGCAGCGGCATGTCTGACCAACTGGTTTATGTCAATGGCTCGTTTCGGGCTTTTATTTTATGGCCCTATATACTTTCAATTACAGGGCTACTCAGCATCGCAATCAGGCCTTCGTCTTGTTCCTGAATCGGATGCTATTAGCACGACATCTCTTGCTTGTGGGATGGTCATGCGATGGACAGGTCGTTGCTATTCCCTCAGCATGATGGTTCAGGGTGTCTTCGTTATCGGATTCGTTTGTATCTCTACAATACAACTCAGTACACCTGCCTGGCCACCATTCATTTATCTCTTTTTGGTTAGCCTAGGGTATAGTGGTATGCTAACAACAACACTTCTCGCCCTCATCGCGGCAGTCGAGCAGGAACACCAAGCAGTCATTACTTCTGCCTCTTATGCGGCTCGTAGCACAGGAAGTGTCATTGGAATTACCATTGTGGGTCCCACTCTCCTTGCAGCTGATGTAGAAAGATTAGAACTAACTGTACATAGGCCTCGACGGTATTCCAAAACGTCCTTCGACCACAACTCTGGTCTCGTTTACATCACAATAAAAACGCGCAAGACATTATATCTAGTATTGAACACAACCTCAAAACAATTCATACCCTACCCCCGGATTTGAGAAGTGAAGCTTCTGAAGCGTACATGATTTCCCTGAGAGCAGTTTTTCTGACGATGCTTGGATTGGCAGTGACGGGATTGATCACCGGGGCTTTTATGAAAGAGTATAAACTGCATAATAAATTATCTAGGCGGCCTTCGAGTTAAGAGGCAGGAAATCTTGGTTTCTATCCAATTTCGAATGGTTAAATTTGTGCAGAGTGGACAAAGGCTACTGGAAAGTGGACTAGGATACCTTTTTCAAAGTATTAGAGGGGTCTGATCGCTTGTGGAGGGCAATGTAGGGTAAGTGAAATTACCGTAGGTATTCCAAACTCGCTTATTCTCATATTCGGTTCCCACGGTGATATATCGAGTTCGTATGTCCTAGCAAAGCATGGGGCCTTCCAATTGGGTGGCTCCTACTCTATAACTATCAGTGGTAACCTATTGATCTTTTCGTCTTAGTTTGATATTACGGTCATCGAGTATAGAATATTTGTATTGACAGGAGAAAATCCTGTAAGGAGCCTTGAGTTAGATGGGTAAACACAAGTGGAAAAGAGTAGTATTACTTTGCCATGAAACACGTGACCATGTACCCTAATTCCAGTTTATAATACATGGTACATTTTAAATAAGGCTAGATTGTTATGTCTAGAGTAATATTCGCTTTACATATAATATGAACTAAACAATTTCACAACACGTTCAAGTTAGTATAAACCCCTAACATATATAGTACCAAGTATATTTCGAGTATATATTCCGAGCCAATTACAAACAGACTATTCGACTTTAATCACAATCTTCCCAAGAACATCTTGCTTGAGTATTTTCGCAAAGGCACTCTTCGCGTCTTCAAACTCAAAAACCTCCCCAATTGGTGGGTGTAGATCTTTCTTCTCGATTAGCTCTACCATATCAAGAAGGTTCTGCCTGCTCATGGCTAGAATGCCTCGCACTATAATCGGATACAAATTAGTCTAAAAGAACCCCTTATATGAATTTTCAAAGGGGACTGAAGAAACATACAAGTTATAGCCCTCTCAACAAGCGGAAATATCAAATTTGACTCTTTTTGTTCACCTAAAAAGCCGACTAGGGCAGCTGTTCCACCTTGACGAAGGCAAGCAATACTTTGCTCGATCGTTGAGGCACCACCCATATCGGCGACGAGATCCACTCCCCGCCCGTTCGTGAGGCGCTTGACTTCTGTGTGCCAGTCTGGGTGGGTCTTGTAATTGATTAGTTCGGATGCTCCTAGTTGTTTCGCTTCTTGGAGTTTGGCGTCTGAGGATGAGGTGGCTATGACCGTGGCCCCCAATGCTGCGGCAAACTAGAAAGGTTCGTTAATGACCGAGTAAGACCCATTCAATTCGAGGAAACCACATGCCTGAATTATAAACGAACTGACGCCGCCAGTACCCTGCGTCAAAACCGTCGTCCCTTCCTTAATGGCAGGTATACTATCCAAAGTATTCATAGCCGTTCCTCCAGCACAGCTCAAAGATGCCGCTTCCACCCAACTAAGATTCTTCGGCTTTCTAACCAACGAATCATCCAGCAGAACCTTATACTGGGTCAAGCTCCCTTGAACAACGCCCGCTCCGAGGATATTGGTCCATCTCCATCCCTCGTTATCCCCACCCTTCCAATCTGGGCTTTGATTGAGAATAACATGATCACCGACAGCCCATACAGAATTGGGTCCTACTGAAATGACTTCTCCAGCCCCTAAACCCCGGAAAGAGGAGTCAGAAACAACTCAAGTTTATTTAGAGAGTACGGAGATATAGGAATAATCAAGACCACCAACAAAGTTGGGGAGTGTCTCAAGTCTAGAAACTGCGAGAACAAGGGCTTTGAATTAGAAGAATGAACTTACCGTCGCAGCAAGGTACTAAACCAGGGGCAGTTGTAAGAGGGTAGCCGCCGGCAACGACCATGGCATCGCGGTAGTTGATGCCTACGGCGTGGATACGGACCAAGACCGAGTTTTGGCCCGGTGTTGGAATGGGGATGTCATTAAGAACAAGGTTGGCTGCGCATGCTGATTTGAAGTTTTTAGAGGTGTCGTTTTGGTAAACTTGCCATGCCCGGGTGGTTGAAGACATGGTACTAAGGTGATTGTGTTGTTCGAAGTCAATGAGATGGGGGGTTCAAATTTTGATTATGGAAATAGGTTGTTAGACGAGGTCGGATTCTGTCACTGGAACTTGCATCAAAGAAAAGAACAGATGATCTTCTGGTGGGATGTCAATTAAATAAGAGACATCGTGCTCTTCTCCGAAAACACGGAGAAAACAACCAGTCTAAACTACTTCTATGACAGAGCTTCCCGAGCTCATCCACAAAAAGTGGCACTTGAATTTCTGATTATCAATATGCAACTTCCATATTGCCAACTAGGTCTAGTACGCCATGGGTACCAAGAATCCATCGTGAAGATGATTCTTCCATTAGATTACGCAATCACGTTCCTATGTTCGGATGAGCATGGACCGTGTTTATGGATGTTCTGATAAACAGCATGACCATGAAATATTTACAAGATAAAGGAAAATGGGGCAAATATAAGTAGGATATCTCTAGGACGTTTTTCCTCCGCGGGTATGGTTCGTTTTGGAAGGAGATATAAACAGCCTATTCGATTGGCGAGAACAGGGTTGAAATCCGAAAAGAGAATGACAGAAAAAGTAATAAAGGGTCTTTAGATTACATATTCTAAGAAATGGCACCGTTGAATTAGAGACTATAAAGGAAGCTACCTTTGAGGCTCAAGGATTACTTGAGAATTCGGTGGAGTAACGGGTGGAAAAAAAGACAAGGCCCGAATTCCTCTTGGCAGGCTCTAAAGCATCTGAAAATAAATCGACAACTTTCTAGACCTGTAAAATCTTATTTACCCTAAATATTGAGAGTTTACTCGAGTATAACCTAGCCGATGCTAATAGAATACATCGTAATTAACATAAGAAGTTGAAGTTGAAGTTGAAGTTACGGTATTTCTTTTTTATTCTCCACATTAGTATTCGGCTGTCACGGTACATTCCAACTTAACATTCCGCCGACATTCGGCCGATACAGTAGAGTATTACAAACCTACTCTAATAAATCGGACTTGGGAGTGCTACGTAAGTATATATAGGTGGAGTACAAAACAGTGCTAACTTAACCAAATCAAACCCCCCTACTTACTAGTAGTCCTTATCCTAATTTAAAGGTTATAATAAGCGAGGAACAATAAATATAACAGACAGTAGGGTTTACATGGGGTTTTTAGTAGAGTACAAGGTGAAATCCTACCATCTCTTCCTGGCGTCAAAGTGCCAAGTACAACGTGCACCCAAAGTAGAGAAGACGTGTCTACCTTTTCATCATTTTCCCCGTAAAGCAAAGTGGTTTACCTACTTAAGCAGCCTTTCTAAGCATTTGAGTCTCCATTCGACCCAGTTATGGCACCCACTTTGGGTGCCACGTTCTTACCTGGCACTTTGGCGTCTGGGAGGGATAAATATGAGTTTAATGTGACGTCCTCGTTACAGGTATGGTTACTTGGCTGGCTCGCCTAGCTAGCCGAGAAGTATCTGCGGGTATAAGTACACCTAACTTTGTACGTAGAGAGCCCCTATCTTATGTCCTCAATCCAAGAAAACTAATTCCCGTTTATAGTCTTCACATTTAGCTTCTCGTTAATAAATGGGTAACCTCGCGGTGGACAGAATAAGTGGCGGAACACACTCTGGTCCTTGTATAGCTTTTAATGAAAGTCGTTATAATTACTTTGAAGTAAAAGTACTTACTTTTCTATTACGTAAAGATGTTTTCGATACCTAGTTATCTTTCCTTCCTTTCTAATATAATTTCTGAGCTTCTGATTAATACAGGCATTTTAAGCGTCTTTTCAGCGTACCTAAGGGGGTATATTTGTTGAAATTACGTAATCCGTCCCACTGCATTAAGTCTACTTTGTCAAAGACTCCTTGTTAGCTGGATACATATAAACTAGGTGCATCTATAGTAGACTCTTTGTTAGCTAGATACATATAAACTAGCTGCATCTATAGTAGAATAATCAAGCACTTAACCAGCTTCTCATTTACTATATTTTATCAGGTTATAAGCCCGACTTACTACTACAAACAAGTAATATATCGCACCCTTTGTTTAGATACTAAAAACAGAATTTTGACTACTCGAATATCTACTATTTTCAGAACAAAGATAGTGTTTTTATATAGAATACTACTGTATATAGTTACGAGTTTTCTAGTACAAAGGCTAATTTTAGCCGTATCCGTACTATATTACCTAGCGTTTACGAACGTATATCCTACCGTATTGTCCTTTTAAATAACAAAGCTAATTCGTTTATAGCAAATACTCTAAAATGCGGATATAGATATACTTAACGAATATATAGTATTCTAAGATATCTAGCCCTTTTTATAGTACTATCCAAGAGTACTATTTCTATATATTTCGAAGACAATTCTACCTACCTTTTTACCTACTTCTACTATATTAAAAGCTAAGAATATTAATGTTAAAAACACGGATTCGATCTATAAGCTTAAGAATAAATCGGACTTTTTATAATAGAACAAGGACCTATATAGTACGCTTTATAGGCGAGATATAGAATAATATATAATGCCTATACTCCTACTATAATAACCTAATTTGAGTACTATCTAGGAGGCTAAAAAGAAGGCTATAACAGGGTTTATTATTAAAACAATATCTATAGGGCTTTATAATAATCTCCTAACTTACTTTAGTAAACCTTTGCCGGCTCCCTAGGTTATATTAGTATACCTTAAAAGAACTATAAGGAAGTCGGTAACGAATATCTTTCTTGCTTATATAATAAATACTACGATTTAACCCATAAAAAATACGATGATATTATAGATTTTGTATAATAACTCTAAGAACTTAAGTGTAACGAATACTCAAACTGGCTAACTAAACTTGGCTGGGTGTTCGCTGGTTGGTATGCTATGATAGGAAGAAGACTATCGGGTTGTTCACTTGGAAGTGAACTCGTTACTTGTATCAAAGATTTCAAACTAATATGATAAGATTGATAACTAAGTTGAGCACGAAGCTCCTATCTAATGGCAGACGTGCCAGTATTATATAGAACCTTCGTTCTCCACAGGAGTGTGGTTGGATCGTCAGATCCACGCTCCTGGATCATGGATCATTTAGATCCAAATGATCCACGTCATGTGACTTGATAACCAAAGGAAATCCTTGGATCGTCTAGCTAGCCTAGTCGATCCCTATTTGCTATAAGAGCTATGATAGTGCTCAACCTGATTTGATTTATAAGATTGATAACTAAGTTGAGCACGAAGCTCCTATCTAATGGCAGACGTGCCAGTATTATATAGAACCTTCGTTCTCCACAGGAGTGTGGTTGGATCGTCAGATCCACGCTCCTGGATCATGGATCATTTAGATCCAAATGATCCACGTCATGTGACTTGATAACCAAAGGAAATCCTTGGATCGTCTAGCTAGCCTAGTCGATCCCTATTTGCTATAAGAGCTATGATAGTGCTCAACCTGTCAGGGCGCCGCCTGGTCTTCACTCATCACGTGCGCGCACATGATTCGTGACAGTACTCTAAAAGTTATTTCGATATCTTAAAGGAACTCTTAACCTTATACTCGTATTTAAAGGACGGTATACTAAACTCTAAGGATATATAGACGCTAGTTAGGTAGATAATAAAAACACCAGCCGATTAACGTTAGGATACCTATTTAACCTTAGGAGTAAAGTAATATCTTAGAGCTTAAAAAGATAATAAACCGTAGTATTATCTACTTATAAGGCCGAGTTATTTACGTAAATAATAGCCGGAAAGGAAGCTATTTAGCTCTATTAATTACTCGCCGAACTATCTATATAATGAGATAATTAACTAATAATTATATTCGCTAATAACTAGGGGGTAATTATACTATCTAAGAACCCTTACTATATACCCTAGACAAAACACGCTAGTATCTAATACCGCTAGTAGTAAGAACAGGTCGAATTAGGTATAATTATATACTAATATATCCCTATAAACTACTAGGCGGCTAACAGTCTTATAAAAGTACGCCCTCGAGAAGGGTTATACAAATTTAGGTATATACTAGGATTAAGAATCTAGGAATAGCCTTACTTTTTATAGTACGGATTAAGGGGGCTGTTGAAATTACGTAATTCGTCCTACTATATTAAGTCTACTTTGTTAAAGACTCCTTGTTTGTGACGGAGCTGGATTTCATTTGACAGGATTTCATTCGCTTGGCCAAGCACGTGACGAGACTTGGCATTGGAACAACTTAAATAACTTCGCTCCTTTCAGATTCTCTTCTCTCTTTAGTTTGATTTCTTCGTACCTACGGTTTTAGTTCTAGCAATTGATTCAAAAGCTGTATACACTTTATCCTTTGTTGGCATCCGTGACATTGTTAGCTAGATATATATAAACTAGCTATATCTATAACTTATAAAAAATAATAAGTAGTATATAAGTAGTATTTCTATCGTAAAAAAATTAATTAGGTAGTATTTCTGTCGTTTTTGATTAATTAGGTAGTATTTTTATCTTTAGCTAATATTAAAATTTTAAAAAAATCGATATTTCTAGAACTCCCTATAATTAAGTAGAATACCTAAATAAACACCCTCCTAAGCTTATAAACCCGAAAACCCCTTATTTTATTAAGAATCTATAAATTGTTTTCGCTTAGCTTAGTAGGAGGAGGTGTCTATACCTTATATATAACCAATTATTTAAAAATAAGTTTTTTTTTTATTGTTTTTTAAAAGGTTCTATTAGCTTTTAATAGTCTTTAATTTATCCCTATGGCGTTCTCTACAAGACTTTTATTATTAGGTATAAGACGAGTTTTCTCGATTTCGCCAAGTACTTTTACCGGTCCGGTAGCTAAGAATAGACTTTTATTATAGTTTTAGGTATATAGATCCTACTACACACGTACTTCCGAGTACTACCGAGTACTACCTACATATTACTACCCTTCCCCCGCCCTCTCTTTACTCCTACTGTCCCTACAGGTACCTAGAAGTGTACTTAGTCGTTTTTTTACTCCCTCCTATCCCTACCTATAAGTGTACTTAGTCGTTTTTTTGTCCCTACCTATAACCTCTGTATATACTTAATTTGAGTGAGTGATTCGAGCTGTAAAAGTGTAGAAATAAGTGTAAAAATAAGTATAGAAATAAGTGAAAAAAACTACGTAGAAAAGAAGTTATAATTTATATACAACCGCAGATATTTTAGTAACTATTTTTATATAACCGGGTATATATAAGGTATAAACAATTGTCGATAGAGTATAGACAACTAAGTATATATAAAAAGGTTTATGCCTCATATACTCCCGGGAGTCTATATCTTATATACAACCGCTCCCACTGGGGGTGTTTGTAGGTGTTAGTGGATTCTAGGGTACAGGTGGAATAACCCCATTTTAGTACTACGTGCAGCATCAGATATAACATTACTAGCATTATTGTTACGAGTCATCAAGGATACCCAGGAACACACCGTAAAGTGGCTGGGGAGCCTGGTCACTTCCATGTTAGTTAGCAAAAAGTCCATGTTAGATAGCATTCCACATATTATATATGATAAGTAAGTCTAATATTATATCCCGAAGTAAGCATAGCTAGCTAATCCATTTACTATAATATAATAACCTACTATAACTTAGAGAGACGAACCAGAATGCTATATAATAGTATCCACATATACTCAACCACCAACCTTCCTGAGACAAGATCTCGAAGCCAAGAAAAGATAAGTTTAAACAATTAACTCCCTAGGTAAGCTAACCTGAGCAACCCTTGACATACCACAAAACTCACCACTCGCACGAAAAAAAACCATTTAAAGTTCCTCTCCTCCCAGCTTATATAGGTTTTTTAGGTATCCAGACCTCTCATCTTCCACTTCACAAAGTATCCCTCCAACGTCCTATCACCTCGAATATCCTACTCAAAATGCCACAGTATAATAGAATCACCCAGGGTATCTTCATGGAAGAGTAATTTACATGGCTATCATCTCGATGAGCTGCAACCTCATAGCTATGAAAATAGTACCTGGGTACGAATTCGGGTAATCTTACGGATTCAAAGCTTGAGAAGGGAGGAATTAGCGAGGCGGAGGTGAGTTAACTGAGAAAAAGTCTAGGAACGAGAGTTTGGGGATTTGGGGGTGCGAATTGAGAGAATAGTGATTGTTATAGATGCCCTAGGTTCGTGTGCTTTGATTCTTGCTTTCTGAGTTGATGTTTGGTTTTGGTATGATAACAATTAGGGTTGATGGAGTTCAGTGTTTCCAAGATGGCTTGCTGTTGTTTTTCGGGTTGATGAGTACATCGACATATAACCAAACATACAGGGTATCGAAGACTCTCTATGATCTCGCAAAGAGATGCCTCCTGGGTATACACGTAAGCAAGTACTCCTGTAACCAATCAACCCCGAAGTCCCTCAAAACTCACTGGGGCCGCAAAACAACTCTCTTTCCCTGCCCAAAGAACCGTCTGTCAATAATACCATAACACTCCTTTACTTCCCAGACGTAGACCAAGAGAAATAAAAAGTCACCAAGAAAGTTCCAGGAGTCTTCTTCGTGGGTTCCAATGTAATGTATTCCATTCCACCCAGGACATCCATTCGTCCTTATATGTACAATACCCCTCCCCACTATCCCTGGGCAACACTCATACTCCATTTTTCACCAAGCCAGAAACCTTTTCTTCGATCTCCTTGTCTGTTAATCCGGCCAGTGACTCGCTCTTCTCTTGTCCGAATTCTGTATTATATAGTTAGCATCTATCTGCCCCTTACATGTCTCCACCCTCCCAAGGAAAATCAGATCAAGTATCCCATTCTCTTCCTTTTTTATAGAATCCCGTGCCTTGTGTAGTCTGGGTAGCGGATTCAGGACATACCATATCGTGCAAAGACTCGCGCCGGGGTACTAGCAGCTTCCCGGAGCATGATGGGTGTATGTGGATTATTCTTCTTCATAGTCGGGTACGCACGCGCAAGGAACGTTCTATCCACACCATTCCATCAGCACCTATCCCACATGCAAAGCACGAAGGGATCCAAACCTAGCCCCCGCGCTCGTCTCGCCCGTCTGGCAGAACAAAAAGCGCACCTCCTTCAGCGTCTGCGAGAAGGCGTATTTGGCCGACATCTCTTCTTTCCTCCTCTCGGACTTCCACGTGAGGGCGAAGATGGGATTTTCGTATCGGAGAAGATGGGTTGTGTGGTGGTGGGGAGACAATTGCAGTTGCGCTACAGAGAGATCTGGTGGTGGTGGTGAGGTGAGGCCGTAAGTGCCATGCTGCTTTACCTGTATTGTCGATATGCAGGGCCCGCCGCCGATATTCGGGGAACCTAATAGGTGGGTAGCTGTGCTGTGTTACCAGTCAACCCGCATCGGCCATGACCAACAATTCCCGATAGCGAGATTCAACGAATTTGAATTTCAGTCTCGACGGCGAAGTGCCTTTCTCAGAAAGTATACGGCGCAACAATCACCACGGATTGTTCACCATCAACGAACGCCCTTCAATCCTCTTCCTTCCTCCCTCCTACCAAATCTCCACCCCCAATTCTCAATTCTCCCTCCTTCCAACTTTCTTTCCACATCGGAGCCCGAGATACAGCAAAACCATATAAAAAAAGATGGCCTCAACAACAACATCCTCCCTCCTCCGCGCAGCGCGTCCCGCTTTCCGCCCAAAGACCTTCTACGCATCACAAGCGACTCGAGCTTTCCGCCCGCGTTTCCAGCAGCAGGGGTGCAGATGGCAGAGTACTGCGGCGCCTGATGCGGCGGCGGGGCAGAGCTGGTTTAAGAGGATGTGGGATAGTCCTATTGGGTTGAAGACGGTGCATTTCTGGTATGTCCAATTGCATTTCTTTTTGGGGGTCGGGATGGGAGGGGGGAGGGGGGAGATGGGAGATGGGAGGTGGTTTTGGGGAATTGGCGGGGTCGTGGTTGAGGATGGGATTTTGTTTGGGGAGGGATGCTAGAATGGGCAATTGAGAATGGGATGGAATGGAAGATTGGAGAGAAGTAATGCTGACTTTTGCGTGATAGGGCTCCTGTTATGAAGGTATTTATATCCCATTAAGATTACGGGCTTCCAATAGTTCCTACTCGCAAAATCCGAATCCTCAACAAATTCCCCAGCACCACCGACACCTACCAGACAATCGCTAACAAGATTGACAGTGGTGTATCGTTCTCGCAGGAGTATCAGATTTCTACCGTCCAGCAGAAAAGCTCTCCCTCGCACAAAATGCTTCCCTCACAGCAACAGGCGCTATCTGGACACGATGGTGTTTGATTATCAAGCCTAGAAATATCCTGTATGTCTCCCTCCCTTCCTCCCCCTTCATTCCGCCTTCCACCCAAATTGACAGAATAAAAACTAATATCATCACAAAACAGCCTCGCAACAGTAAACTTCTTCCTCGGCGTCGTCGGCGTAATCCAAGTCTCCCGAATCATGATCTACCGCAACTCAGCAGAAGGGAAAGCTGCCCTCGAACTCGAGGCCGCGAAATCGAGTGTTGCCGAGAAGGCGGGGGAGATCAAGGGGAAGGTTGTGGATGTTGTCAAGAAAGCTTAAACACCCATTTCTTGCTGAAGGGAAGGGAACGAGGATGCAAGTGAGGGGGAGTGGTTAGAATGAATAGACCTCGAATGATTGAGAGGGCTAATATCCAATGCGGTTGAGGGGATTCTGGCAGCTTATGCATCTTGCATTGCATTGTATCGTATCTCGAATATCGGCTGTAGGTGGTGGAAGAGGAGTGTATATTATTTTTCCCTCTAACACTTGTTCCTCCATTCTGATACAGTGAGATGAACACAAATCCGACTTCTCCTCAAATCCCCTTGCTATCCACCTCAGATCTTTTACCTTACCACATTCCAGTCGCGATCTCTCTACAAACACCCTAGATCTTTTCGTGGGCGACGGGGCAAGCTTGGTAATTAGTCCAAGTCCAAGTAATATGTAAGATACAGTAAAAACCACCACCACCACATACAGCAAGCAACCAAAAACAAGTATCCAGAGTAAGCTCCAGGACATCCGAATCCAGCAGAAGATTCTTAGATGCCTCACATTCTTAACTCCATCTACCTCGCAAGTACATATAAAACTATCCCCATCCTACCCCATCCCACCCCACACCACCGTGAGATAGGTATAAACCTCCCTACCTACTGGCTCAAAGCCTCGTCGAGGAGTCACGAGTCAACAGGTCACCAGAATCCAATCTAATGACCATATGCACAGCACTGAATTGCAGCTAGATTAGATCCCTAGTTCTAAGAAGCGTAAATCATAAGGTAGAGGAGAGTATCGAGACAGTCCATGAATACTATACAGTAAGCGCACTAGCAATTCCTCCTTGAGGGTGTCATTGAGGCGTGTTAGATTTGGTTAGCTAAGCGAAGAATTGTGATTGTGCTTGTAATAGAGGGTGCAGGGGAGGTGAGATAGAAGCACTTGTAAGTTGTAAACACCATGTTTCCTCTCAGATTTGATTTGATATGATTTGATTTCCTTCCATTCCTCAACATCACATCGAACCTCCCTTCCTCAATTTCACTCCCTTCCACCTTTCATACCCCACACCTCCCCCCTCCATAATCGTACAAAGGAAGAAAGATAATCCCCCTACCCCCAAGTCAAGGAGAAAAGGAAAAAGAGAGAAAAAAAAAGGATGGTACGCCAGAATCGTTTTATATCCCACACTTACTCAAACACGTATAGTATAGTATGCGTAGGGCCTCTCTTCCAAATCTCTCTCTCTGTCTCCCTCTCGCTCGTATAAAGCCAAACCAAAAAACAACACAAAAACAAATACATCCACCCAGCCATCCATCCATTCATCCCAATTGCGCGCTCAACATTGGGACCAGCCCCCATTCATCTCCATTCGAATTCACATTCACAATCACGTTTCTCGTCTTAAATCTCATCATCAAACCCAAACTCACATAACAACGCAATCACCCTCCTGCTTCTGGGAGCGGGAAATTCTCTCTCGCGACTTGGCGGTAGCGTTCTTACCACCTCTCTTCAGATCCTCCAGACGTTCGCGTGCCTTGGGGAAATTTTGTGCTGGAAAAACAAATTAGTATCCCGTTCAAACCCAAATGCCTGAAAGAAGATGATGAATATAAAGGGGATAAAAGAACATACCAGCAGCCCTCCAATACCACCTCTTAGCATCCTCCAAATTAGCCGGACTCCCAATTCCCACCTCGGTAAAATAGCCCATCGCATACTCCGCCTTCGCCAGTCCAGCCATAGCCGCCTTACGGGCCCAAAGATAGGCTTCCGTATCACTCTGCTGCAACACCCCATCGAAACCTGTAAGGTACCACCCACTAAGCGCCAGCTCACTCTGGTGTTCTTCCTGAGCTGCTGCCCGCGAATACCACATAATACTCTTCCTCGGGTCAATCTGACACCCAAAGAGCCCGTATTCATACGCACATCCCAGACGGAACTGTGAAAACTTGTAACCCAGCTCAGCGGCTTGGTTAAAGAGTTGGATTGAATACATTTCATCTCTCATGACGGATGATTCGGGACTTTGTTCCGCTTCGAAGAGGAGACCTAATTCGTGGAGGGCGTGGGGATTTTCAGCGTCGGCGCGTTCGGCTGCTCGCTTGAGCCAACCTACGGCTTCGCGGGGGTTTTTGGGTTGACCAAGGAGTCCTTTGAGTTGGATCATGCCCATTTTGTACATAGCAGGTGTATCGCCAAGGGTTGCAGCTCGCTTATACCATTGAATGGCTTTCAGAGGATCTTTTCGGGTTCCGCCTCCTTCATCGTTACCGAGTTCACAACAAACTGCTGTACGGTATGCTGCTGCTGCGTGACCAGACTTTGCTGCTGATTGATAGAGCGTGAAAGCCTCCTTGTTGTCTGTTTCCAAGCCCAATGCACCTTTACCGTAGCTATCGGCAAGGATAAACATGGCTTCGGTGTTTTGAGCGGCCACAAGTTTCTTCAGCATCTTATGAGCATCCATAACATACTTTGCACGGGCCTTATCTCGAGCTCGTTGGTCAGGAATTGTTTGTACAAGGACTTCAGAAGCTTCAACCAACTTTTTAGCGTAGATAATTCCAGTAGCTTGATCAGCAGGATTTGCCTTGGTTTTTGCTCTAAGTTGTTCCAACTCGGCTACAGTCACAGAGGGTGGTGCAGGTGGCCCTGCTGCTGCAGGAGTTGCTTGTGGTGACGGTCCTTGACCAGGAGAAGGCTGCGGTGCCATGCCATTATAATTACGAACAGGTGTAGGTTTGTTGGCTGCCAAACTAGCCACAGAATTGGGAATTAATCCGGCGCGAACTGGAGGTGGGGGCCCGTTTTGCATGGTATTGGCACGAACGGGACCAGGTCCTTGAGGAAGGCCAGGTCGAGGTCCTCCAGGAAGACCACCGCCAAATCCACCGCGTCCGGCTCCTGGGGGTGCTGCTGAGGCACTTCGTGGTGGTGGAACAAACCCGTTCTGTTGTGGTATCGGGGCTTCATTGTATTGACCATAACCTCCCGGCGGTCCTTGGCCGAATTGGTCATATCCTCCTTGACCGCCTCCATAGCCATCGTCATATCCTTGTTGTGGATGTGCGTTTGGCAAAGGAGGCGCCATATCAAATACAGCTGCTTGTGGTTGTGCTCGGTTACGAAAGTCGGGTTGAGATTTGGCAGGTTTTAGCTGTGGAGCGAAGCCATTTGGTTGTGGAGCTTGAATATGTTCGTCTATTGATGTTCCTCTTCGGTGGTTTCCAGGGTTGTTTGGGACAGCATCAAAATTTGGCATCTCGGAATCAGTTGAAGGGCGACGCATATTAGGTTGCGCATGTTGTTGGCCGGGAGAGTCATAATAAGCGTCGTAAAACTCATTGATACTCTCACTTTGTGAATGACTAGAGTAGTTTTGAGGGACTGGCCCGGGGGGAGCTGCATAAGGATCGATTGGAGGAGGTTGTCCACGCCCTCGTCCATATCCATCTTGATGGGGGCTGCCTTGAGGTGGGTATTGTCTCTGAGGTGGTAAACGTTGTCCTCCAGCCGTTGAAGGTCTTGGTGGGCCTCCTCTTCCGCCAGGGCCAGGTCCATTTTGAAATGTCATACTTCTTCCAGGAGATCCAAAGTTGTCTTGATTATCATACCCAGGCTCAGCGTACCCATTTTGTGGCGGCTGTTGATATCCCTGAGCCGAAGGCGCTCTTCCTGGAGGACCTCCTTGTTGCTGGGGAGGGTAACCTCGTGTCATGCTACGTTGGCTTTCCCCTGATGGTCGTCCACGGGCATCAGGTCCTGGTCTTCTTCCTTCCATACTAGGACGACCATAATCATCCGGAGGTGCGGCTCTTCGCTGACTATCCATTGAAGGGCGTCCATAACCATCGGTTCGACTGCCTTTGCTACCAGGTCCTCGCGGTCGTCCTTTCGGAGCAGGTGTACCAACTTCCATTAAGGCCATTTGCTGAATTATTTTCTGTTCTTCTGAAATCGATGTTTTCTTCTGGGAGCCTGGGAAAGTTGGGAAAGGGTTATCATTTGGTAATACATTGGGGGATATAGGTGGAGTCTTCAGAGGCTTCCTCCTGGCCATCCTTTTGGCTTTACTTTTGTTAGTCTTCATAGTGCTTTAAAAAAATAATCACTTACGTCCTGGATCAGAGGTAGCTACTCTCCCTGGAGGACCAGGCCTGCCTCCTCTTCCCATTTGCACGCCATTTGGATATCCTCTACCTTGATCACCACCATACCCCCCTCTCATATTTCCTGGAGGAGGTCGTCCCATTGGTGGTCCTCTTCCTCCACCTCGAGGTGCCATTCCTCCCCTGTCATTTCCATAGTATTCTTGTTGTGGTGGGTAACCCTGATTCTGGGGTGGGTAACCGTTTCCTCTTCTACCTTCATTCTGACCCTGGTAGCCCTGATCATATTCTTGTGCGTAGCCTTGATTATTGTAGTCATCATAACCGTAGCCGTCCTGCGCGTATTGTTGAGGAGGGTATTGTTGCTGGGGTGCTTGGTTGTAGTCTTGGGGACCAGGACGTTGTGCTGCTCTACCATTGTATGGCCGCTGGGGCGGTTGGTATGCGTTTTGGTCGTATGCCATTTTGTTCTATTTTCTATTGCCCCCTGTGAAGTTCGTACTCGTGGTCTCGCCGCGAATCGCCCTTGTTCGCGTTTGCGATGTCTCTGTCGTTTAGTATGTTTTTGTTTCTGGCCAGAGCCCAAGTTCGGCCTCCCTTCTAAAACCAGAGATTCTTCTAATCAAACTGATTTCCTCTCCCAAAGTTCTGTTGTTCAATTCTTTTCTCGTGTCGCGCGACAGCTGAGCGAGATGGGATTTGTTGGTAGGGGATCACAGGAATGGAAAGGGCGACAACATTGGGAAGCGAAATAGAAGCTCGTGGTGTTTGGCGCAGCCTAAGGAAAGCTCAGAGGATCTCACACAGTTATATGGGTTCGGTTGGTCAAGCCTCGCTCATAGGCCCAACTTTGCTGTTGTTGTTTTGCAGAATCAGATCGTCTGAGGGTCGAGTTGAGGGGTGGATGAATAAGGGACACGGACGCCGGAGCTTACTGTACGGTTACTTTCAGGGGCGAAGGAGAAGTCGAGCGCTTGTCCGCTTGTCCTTCCAGGTTCTTTAACAACACAGCTTTTTCTATATTTCTGTGAACTCCGTATTGGGGTAGGTAAGTAAACTTCGTGTGTTTTGCGATCAACGGTTCATTCGATTCCTCTCGCTACCTATTCCGAGCTCCTCGCTAACCTTGAAGATGTAATTGGTGCTAGCAGAATTTAGGTCACTTCTCCCACTTCAGCATTGACTGTCTGACTGTCACAGTACTCGTATGGGGTTATATTTGGCCTTGAACTGTAAAAAAACGACTGCAATTCTCTACAGGCACGAAATACAGTACACCAAAATGCCATCGTCTCAGAAACAACAAGGGGGAACCATGAAGTAGCGTCGATCACTTCAGGTTCCTTGTTTGGTCAGGAACATTAGGTAATTCATTGGCTGGACGTAATATTTATTGCAAGGACGTTGATCCTGGATAACCTCATCATCGATTCAAACATTGGAGCTTACCATCAAAGAAGCAAAAACCCATCTCTGCTTTTCTAAGCAAGTAATCGCCTGTCATAAAGCTGACAGCTGACAGTTGATCCTTTCAGAACCCTTCCATACACTGATAAGCAGAGTCAAAGTCCCATCTCGTTGCGGGTCTTGAGGGTCTTGGGGAATATCAAACAGGAATACTCGAATACGGTGACCCGCTCATCAAACCTTGTACTTGTAGTCGGACAGGATGAGTAAGCTTGACGAGGAGTATCAGTTTTGAATGTCAAGAAAGGAAAACGGTTCATCGTTTAAATCTACAAGTGGAAAGATCAGATTGCAGCTGGAACCTGAACTTTCCAGCTTCATGTCGGTCACACCATGTTTAGATGTTTGCATGTTTGGATGTTTATAGACTTGCTTTTATCTGACACCCACGATCAGACCAAAAATCGGCCCGCTGGGGCCATGCTGTAGCTACGCCACAAGTCCAACAACCACAAACAGTGTTAACGAAGCCCGATCAATAAAAATAAAGAGTTACTTGGTTTTAATTCAAGATAGCTTTAATAAGTATCGATAAGAAGCGATAATGAAACCAATAAACTTTCTGCTTCCCTTCGCTTATGATGTTGTGGTTGAATAAAACAAATAATTGCAATTCAAGACCTCTGATTGGCCCAAAATTCATGTACCTAAGTACACATTTTGACCGATCTCCGACCCCGATCCCAGAGCTTGGGCTGGTGATGTCAATGAACCCCCAGCTTCACAAAAACCACCAAATCCACATACAACCAAACTCTCAAACACCACCAATTCCCACTGCACCACGTCGATCAACACCAAACGACCCTCTCTACCTCTGCAAAAATGCCACCAAGACCAACAAACTGGGCAATGTGGGGGAAAATGACTTTAGCGTTCGTCTCCCCTCCATCAATCTTGCCCCTCCATTCTATTTCCCGCCCCTCTACTCACATACTCTTTGTATATTTACTAACCCAATGCTCTACACAGATTCATAGGCTGCTCCGTCGGCGGCCCAGCCCTAGTCTACTACGTCTCCCCCACCGAAGAAGAGCTCTTCCAAAAATACAACCCCGAGTTACAGCGCCGAAGTTTGGAGAACCGGATTGGGAAGCAGGAGGACTTTGATTCGTTTGTGGGGAAGCTGAAGGAGTATAGTAAGAGTGATAGGCATGGTATGTTTCCCTCTTTTCCTTGTGAGGGAGGTTGTGGGTTGTAGAGATGGGGGGATTGGTCGCTAGAGAATGCGCATGGAGGGGAAAGATTCTGGGAATGGAAGGCTGATGGGTTACTTTTTGTAGTTTGGGAGGCTGCGGCTATTGATGAGGATAGTAAGAGGGAGGGGAAGCTGAAGGAGCAGATGAAGTTGGTGGAGGAGATTAGGAGGAGGAAGGAGGAGATGAGGAAGGATGGTCATAGGGGGGTTCCTGGTGGGAGTTTATAGTGGTTGCTTTGGTGGAGGGTGGAATATTCGACACGGGGCGCAAAACAGTAAAAGCGCTATCGTCTTGTTATTTCAGGGTATAGGGTGTTGGGAGCAAGATCTGAGATTCGCGGTTGTACCCCTACTCAGCTTGGAGAAAACTGGCGTACATCATGGCGTTTGGGAAATTACGGAATCTGGGATGTAAATATATTTTTGTAAGATTTGTGATTCGATGAGTGGGAATGTGTTGGCATGGAAAAGAATGTACCATTCCTCAAAGAACACCTTTGTGGTATTAGTCTTATTTATGTCTACAATGAGATCTTTACATTTCCTACCAGTGGTCCTCCCCAAACGAACCGTAATCCACGATGGAACTAGTTGCAGTTTGACGTGAAATAAGACACACCATGCTCTTGTTTTCCAGACTATTCAATCAGTCAGCGTCAATCACAACTTTTGGAATTGTCATTTGATAACAGTCAAAAGGTAAGTACTATTGAAATTTAAGCAAAGAGGCGAGAGAGGTAGGGTTACTTTATGTCGAAATTCTGCTTTAGGTGAAGACCCTTCAGTGTATGAGGAAGGCTTAGTTCAGCAACATGAAACTACCTCTCACAATATTAACTTGTAAGTAGGGTTGGGCTATCTAATTTTAGATAATTTAATTATAATTGATTTTCGTCTAATTTATAATAATTAAAGATTTAGGTTCTAAAATTAGATTTTGGCAATGAATATCGGGTATATAAAGTAGTGAATAAGGGGTATAGGAGTAGACTAGTTTTACTTAAAAGACTACTAAAAATGTATATAAAAGAGTGCTTAAGGATAAATCAAAGAATTAACTATATAGCTAATCTTCCTCTTCCTTACTCGAGTTATTAATCTTAGTATTACTATTATCTTTGTCCTTATTATCTTCTTCCTTTATTTATATAAGCGCTCTAAGTTCGACAAGCTTCTCTTTAATAACCTTAGAGAAGTTAAGGAACTCCGAGTTATTATCTAATACACGCTAGTTTATATATATAAATAATAGTTTATAAGCTTGTTCTACCTTAAGAAGGTTACGTAAAGTACTTATAATTAATCCTATATAACCAAAAGCGTGCTTAGAGAGTACTAAATTAGTAGGAGTTTCAAAGATTATAACTATAATATGTAGCCGGGCTATTTAGATTTTCCGCCCCGAGGTCACATGATGCACGTAATTTATAGATAATTTATTATCAGATAATCGGCCTAATTAGTAATTATAGATAATTTATTTAAATTAGACATAATTGAACAACCCTACTTGTAAGGCTAGTTTCGCTTCTCTTTCGTAGACATTGCAGTTTTTGGTATTTTTCTCCGATAGTTTGGATGGGATATCTGAAGTACACGTATCATGAGTATTGGCTGAATAAAATAGTACAATTGAATTAATTGTTAGGAAAAGGAAAGAGATACTGTGTGGTTCTTTGTGCAGAAACCTTTATAGTATCAAATCTATTGTTTAATGTGTTTGTCTGTGAGATGTTGTTTTATTATAGTTCATAGTTCCATACTTTATAAATGGTAGGAAGTTCAAGCAAAGTCTCCGTTGATTTTGAAAATTCAAAATTGCGCCCAATAACTTTTAAAATCCTTATGAGAAAATGGCTTAATATTACGTATGGTACAAAAAATGCTTGATAGTAGAACTAGATATTATGTTTGGAATTAATCTAGTAAACGGCAAGGAGACTTTTAGCTATTTCGTATGCATAATGCAAAAGGATTACTTCAGAGATAATACAGGTGTAGTTGTACATAATCAGATTAGACTGTCTAGTGCCACAGGTAATTTAGTTCTAGACTTGAACAAGGAATAGTATTGAGAGGTGGTGTGTCCATTTCACATAACTCACAGACTTTTGATGAATGTTGAAAAAGGCGACTTCCAAAAAACGACAACATCCAGCCCCTCAAACAGAGATTCTAAAAGTTCATAGCTTTGAGGGTTGTGTGTCTTTTCTTTTACAAATATTAGTTAAATGAGAGTCATGCTATAGCAGAGGCATTTTCTGTTCGCTTATTATGGCTGCCTTGTAAGAATCAAGATTTCGCTATCTAGCGTTAGGATTGTCAATGATTTAAGCGAGCGCCGCCCCACTTTTACTGTAAGGCAGAGTAGTGATGTGGTTTTTGATACTTACACTCACTTTGAATGTTAAAAGCAGCAAAAAATATTCTCTTTTTGCGTAATCCAATCAAAGTGTTTGATGACTTCACTTATTTTGGACAATAGAAACCAATTAAATAAGCATCTAGGACAATCAAAGCAATTATCTTAAAGAAAGGCTATGAAGATGTGGTTTGCTGCAGCTTGCTTTTCCCACTGCGATATCAGCTCTAGTATTTGAGTGATGCGTGCACTTCACCTTCACGATCATCTACCGCTTGAGTGAAAGATGGTTTTTGTGGTGCTTCTTACGTAACTAAGTGATTCACTCCTTCAACTCGGCTAGGTTTTTTCCTATCTTGGGCGACGCGCCTTTTTATTCCTTGTTTTGTTGTCCTGCCACCCCCTCTTTTTTGATGTTGACTCTCTACTTCTGAGCTGCCTGCTCCCACAATTTTCAAAGGCCAGAGCAGCCCAAGCTAGCTTCGCAGCATTGCATACCCACACTTGCGCATTCTCTCTCAATCCTGTCAACAGCTTTCGCTTTCCGCCAATGTAAGCCTCAATTGTTCCTCATTGAATGATTGTCTTCAGCTAACGCTCATGCTTGTGTAGATGAGCTCCTTCTCCATGTCAGATACTTGGGGTCTACTATCCACAGATTACCCAAGTCGTCGACCTTCTTCTCCGATAAAGATCCAAAATCCATTCCGAGTTCGTCGAGCTTCTTCTCCAGTCAAGATTCGATACAATCCCTCCGATTCTCGGCCTTCTTCTCCAATTAAGATCCGAATTGCTCGCGAAGTAGCTGTAGCCAGCGATTCAGACAGCGATACAGTATCTGTTGGCGATGAGATCGATAACCTCGGCTCTGCCACTCGTAGACTTGTGAAGCTCCGATTAGGCGATGTATCCAAGGATCTCCTCAAAACATTGCCCAAGAAAGTACGCCATAAGATCTGGGAATATTACATGATCCTTGAGTGCTCTCCAGGTGTGAGTCCAAGAGATGTCTTCCTCACGACTCTTCTTCCGGCACTGGAAATCAGCCCTACCGTTTACCAGGATGCTCTCGAGTACTACTTCGATCAATTCATGGTGACCGTCACTTTGGAGGAATGTGATAGTCTCAAGTACATCCGCCCTACGACTATCGCATTGATGAAGCACCTTCATATATACTCCCAGTAAGTAATCCATAGCCTTACCTCAAAAACACAGTTTCACTAATCAGCTATGCATAGCGCCGACTTATGGGGTGTTCCAAATAGAGAAGCTGCCAAAACCTTCATACCCTTCCCAAGCGACTACCCCCCTTTTATAAAACACACCATCTCGCCACCCCTCCAACTCAGTAACGCCCTTCATCTCCGAAGCCTCTATCTCTCCTTCGAGCCCACCGAAATGTTCGCTCGCATTTTCCTCGATCGGCTGCTTCCACCAAAACCTACTCCTCTTCGAACTCTCCATCTCCGCATCCGCTTAGAACGTGGACAACCCCCTTACGAATATGGCAAATTTGAAAACAGAGATGCTTCCAGACTCTTTGAGTATGTCAAGAGAAAGCTGAATGACATGTATCCGGTTGATGGTAGGCTCGCTTGGTTTAACCGTAGGGATTGGTCGTGTATGGATGAGGATTCGCGTGGCAAGATTTTTGCGAGTGATAAATGGTCTTTGACGGAGGATAAAAAGGATTTGCCGGATGGACCTCTTATTGGTGATACGATTTTGACGGGCATTTAGATGGGAGAGATAGGGGTTTGTTCTTCGGGCTCTTACTTCATGTTCTTCGGTGGGTTTGGGGTGTTGTTGGGTTGCTTTTGCACCCTTCTTTCGAAGATAGATGGGCTATCTGCGTCAATAAGGATCACGTTATGGCTTTTGAGTTGTCATTTAGGGGCTTGGCTTTTTAGTTGCCCTTCAGAGAACGCTTTTCCGTAGCAATTGAAAACTCATATTCCGCACTTAGGCTTTCAATGGCGTAGAAACAACTTTAACAGGGAATAATCTCAAGAATTTTTATGATTATGGGAGACGGCTTTATGATGTAACGAGCAGACTTATATCAACAAGGAGTATATCTCTTTCATTCGAAGACTCGGAGCCTTGCTGGCATGCAAATCTTTTTGTATGGCGCATATTTAAAAAATGTGCGAGCCAAACAGGCCCTTATAGTGGTTACGGGTCGTTAAAAACATTTAGTATATGCATGAATATGATGAATAAGAATCAATGCTTGTATATCCCCAGAGCACATTCCAATACCTCACACCTGTCCGTTATATTCCATTCCATGTTGCAATCGGTCACCACAACTTCGCTCCCTCAATCACTCGTGTCCTAAAGCTCGATGACCAAGATTTGTAGATAGTCACCTTTATCTTTGGCAGCGCCTATATACTGCCTCACATAAAAGAGGATTTGTGGAACATGTCTACCAGCATTACCATCCTATTGGAAACAAGGAAGGCTGAAGACATAGGCGAGGGCTTGGTATTTCAAGAGCGCCCTCAGGGTTACCCATCAGACTGTAGGGAAGCAGGAACAACCTCAAATCATGGCGACTACAATGATAAATAGGCATGAGTTCAATTCCGAAGAAGAAGGGTAAAGCAGGTGCTAGTCATCTCGAGAGAATCGCTCAACTGAATAAATTGGAAGCCTCAAGCTGAGTGGAGGACATATTATGGGGACTGAAGACGAACTGGAATGTCAAGGGAGTCTTTTCATGGGTAAGATGCTCAATTTCAAACGAATTATAGATTCAAAGATATGGATTGTTGGAAATTTCTCAGAAAATCGCTCAACTTGCTTTTAGTCTTCTTTCTAACATCTCAACGAGATTTTCCAACTAGTTAACGCCTGTTCAATAAGTTTCAAACGTCCTTTCGAAATGTCGGGTAATGTTTTACTGGCGTCCTTCTAATTCAATCCCAAGCCTCTGATCTAAGTTTAAATCCTGCTTATGCTTCTAGTCTAATTGTTGTGTGCTGTTCTTTGGTCTTATATAAACACCATTTTGAACACTTGGGGGAATCACATTATTCGCTCAGCGGACATCGGTCTCGAGACTTGCATCTGCCCGTAGAACTTTGTAGATTTAGCCTTCCTTTCTATATAAATGAAACCATTCCTACTTATATATTTCTTGCTGCTTCTCCCTGAATAAGATACTAATTCGAGTTTTAATGTGGTTAATATAAACTTCAGGGGCACTAAGGGGGCGGTAATATTCTAATTGAACTCCCGGTGGGTTAGAAAAATGGTAGAGAATCCAAGATTATGTTTCATTTTATAGTAACTCCACCTGAATCAAAGTATCTCAATATTTTAGGAGAACTAATTCAGGTGTCCATATTTTTTCGATCAGCTATTTTGAGCAGCCAAAATAAATCGAATTCAGCCACCTTGAATCAAGTTAATCTTTTGGTAAGGTAATTGGGGATAAGCTGCTACTTTTCTTGGTCACCGGTTGTAGAACAATCATTCACTGTTCATTCATTGTCGCATCATGACCACGATGTGGAGACAACATGATAGAAGCACAGCGCACCAGAGCCCAAGTACAAATCAACCGGCCCATCTATGTAAACTGATTTCCTTCCTTCCACAATCAACAATTTCACTCTGCTTCCTCCTCGTAGCTCCGGAGGAATAATACAAGACACGACAAACGTATCTCCATCACAACAACAATACACGCTATACAAGAAAACCCACCCTTCGCACACAGAAGCCAAGGTTAGCAGGCTCTTCTCAAGTGAATTATTTACTCCCAAATACTAACACCATTTATTTCAGATGAGCCAGACCGCTCTTGAATCTGACTGGGTCTTCGTGTCCACACTTAAGATATCGCTACGCCCAGCAGGAGTTACAGACTTCAAGGATCTGCCATCACTGGTTGATATTTCAGCCGCGCCATTCAACAGCAAATTCAAGAAAGCCAACAATCACAAGCCAAATTCACCCCAGCATCGCTCGGTAACACGGACTCAATCTCAAACGGAATCAAGATACTTGGACCCGAGGGACTTCTTAGTTTCCTTGAGCCATCCGATCTTGAGGCGTTTGTTGTGACACGCCAAGACGGTGAATTCGGTTCCCTTCTACGAAATGTCAGTTCCCGAAGGTGATGGGTCATCCAAGGTAGTAGCTACAGTCTTTCCAGGCAACTCTGCCAGCGACTTGAGACTTGCTGTGGAAGAGGGTGGTAAACTTGTTGTGGGTGAGGAAGAGGAGATTGTTGACCGTCAATGCACCACACCTCATGAGAAATAAGTACTAGTTTCCAAACCCTCATATCCGTGGATACTGCTTGACTGAGAGAGCCTATCTACTAATTGTTGAGGAGGAAGGAAAAGGAAATGAATTCAGAGGATGATTGGATCTTTCCATCTGGCTTACGGCATGAAAGAAGGGAGGAAAGATTCGAGGTAGGTTTGGGTCAGACTCATGGATTGTTCTTCTCTTGCGCTACTGCCAGAGGAGAGCTTGCCTTCTTTATTGAAGCAAAGAGCCAAATAAAAGTTCTTTTCACCATAAAAAGTTTGCTCCAGATCTATTTTGTGGTTGAACAAACCCAATTGGGCACTTGAGACAGTAAAAACATATAAAACACTGGTATCAATGTGAGTTTTTGTAAAGTTTGGTTTTGCGTCAAACCATCTTGAAACAGAGGTTTGCAAGTCTTGGCTCATTGGAACTTGTCTTTCACACTTGATGTAAACATACTTCTGTATACATTAACTGGTACCCCTTCTTCTTTGCGTTCGCTTAACGCCAATGAGGGAAATAGTCGGTCATAGTGGCCTCAAAAGTCCAGGTAAAGAAGCTGGTGGCTTGCCTTGTTTTTGGAAAAGCGTAGTCAGGGAAGCCTTGACTTATCTATAACTTTCTCTTATACTATCACGTTCACACAGTAAGTTCTGAAACGTCCTGATTACAGATCACTTCGGGCCATTGTTGACCGATATCAACTGCTAAAGAAAATGTTCCAGAGGACAACTGAGAGTTTCTTTGACTGGTTGAAGCTTGCTTCTGAATCTTACTTACTCAGGTGCTTGATGAATAGTTACAGTAATGTCTTGAAGAATGTGTCTAGGTTGGATAGGTACTTGCTAAGAGTTGAATATACATTGCCATATCTACAATACTGTAACTCATATTTGGAAGGAGAACTGAAAAGAGATTCATTCACTTGTACACATATTCAGCTACCCCTCACAGCCAAGCCGCCTAAACCAAAATACTGATTCGGATCCCACTTGACGAACGGGAGCCTCTCAGAGCCTCCCAGTTTCGGTTCATCTTTCCTTAAGATAAAAGAGAGTCTTGAGCTTCTGTTAGCTCCTCTTCTTCTTCATATCAACATCAACATCATCCCCCTCCAAGCTGGCTATCTGTAGGATCAGAACAAATGGGAAATTTTGTGCGTTGTTAAGGTCTGTTTCTAGAGTTGGAACAGCCCAAAAGGTTTATAGCAACATCCCTTCCAATATTCATGATAGCATACTGACTCCATATTTGTCAGATGAACAATTCTGGAAGAGGACCCAGATTTGACTTCGGAGCAGGTATTCAGAGTGGCAGCATGTGGACCTCACACAAAGAAAAAAAGTCATCACACCCAGAGAAGAAGCATTCAAATCCCAGGAATGACTCCTCTGCCTCCTTATCGCAACAACCAACTACCACCGAGTTCAAACATGGCTCGGGTACTACTGTATCAACCCAGCACACCCAACCTTCTTCCATGTACAGTGCGGCACCAACAAACTACAGCGGTCCGTATACCATACCTCATCCTTGTCCTACTCCAGGCCCTATTTCAGAGGTTGATCAGCGCCGTCGATGGACAGTCCAAAGATGGCAACCTGAACATTGGCCACGAAGGGACCCATGGGAAGCCTGGACCGATTCTGGAAATCTGTACTCCCCTGGCCACATGTTCAATATGCAACATACAATCTCCATGGAAGATGAGATTGAAAAATATGCTCACCACAAACCTTCAAGAATGGAGGTTTCAGAAATGAACATGCCGTTCTATATCGACAGGACAGATCACTGGGATGAAGAAGAAGCCGAGAAGCTTTTCAAGCAACTCTTGAGAACCAAATATTGGAAGGTTACAAGTGGCAACGCAAAGTCCTACCGGCTGACCGAGAATTTGAACGATGCTGCCATTAAACAAATCAGGGAGCTCGAGGTCAATTTGACGTAAGTCCCATATTCAGAAAGCTTGAGTGAACGTCTAGACTAACACCCAATAGCCATCGAGATGAGGACCCTATGACACATGATCTAGAGCGGCTTCTCGTCAATCCTCGTACTCGCCTGACCAACGCGCCTCTTGAGCGCCTGTGGATTCATGGCCGGTTGGGGGACCCCATTATCTACTCTGTTGCACAGAGATTCATCCAATGTGGTTGCCCGATAACGGACCTTCGAGTCCGAGTTTATGCTCCCCCTACAGAGGGTAAGGTGAAGATTTATGACCCCCGAACGAGGATTTTGCACGGGCTTGCGGATTCTATAGGGGAGCTTTTTGCACAGCGTTTTGCCTGGGGAGCAGGACCGGAAATGTGGAGAAGTAAACTGGATAATGAGAGGTTGCAATGGACGATAAGAAAACACCCAAAGCCTATTGAGCCTGTCACTGCTGTCTGAGAGAATGAGCTGAGGGGAAAATATGGTGTGAACCAATGGGCTCGGCTGGGTGTAGGGTGAGTCAGAAAAGTTTCACAAAAAGTCCTCCTTTAGACTCCTAGTTTGACGAATTTGTAATTCGTACTTTAGTTACCGTGGATATACAAAATTCAAAGAATTTTCGTTCTACTTTGCATTGCACGATGCGTGATCCGTAACATGATTAGCTTAACAATCCTTATTATAGGGCGCTGGTTCAGTGTATCTCCACAGGTAGGGATGCAGAAATGGACGCTGTTGCTTGATGGTTGTCTTGCTTGCCCCTATTACTCCTTTTCCTATCCCCAATAATTATCTAGTGACTACCCGCATCTTGTTCGTTGTCCTCTTACTCTGCTTCATCATCTTTTCCTTCCTGTTCATCTTCATACCGTTCATCTTCCCCCTCTTCCTCCTCTTCCTCGCTAGATTCCATAAGTTCATCATCCTCAGACTCATCAGAATCATCCCAATCACCTAACCAACACACAGCTTTGGGACTTTCACCCTCCACTCCTTCAACAAGCACTTACAAAGCACGCCTAGTTCCCTTGAAATACCCGATATCTTCTACCGGAATACCCGTAGCCTCGGATAGAGCCAACGCTTCTTGTCTCAATTGAAGGCTCTCGTCCCATGGTTCCCACAATGGCATTAGTTCCGCAAGATCTTCAGTCATCATTCGGCCCTCAAAATCTGCCCCGTCATCGAATAAGCGGACGCCTGTGCCTCCAAGGCCGTCCTCTAAGCCCATGTATGAGCGCGAACCGAGATACAAGAGAAGTTTGAAGGCCAACTCCCTACATGGAAGATATTTGAGAAGTATAACGTCTTCGAGAAAAGGCTGCATAGCATCGGCTAGGTCATCACTTGTGAGCATGTTTTCATTTTCATCCTGGGCGCGCTGATCGGCAGCCGCGGAAATAAAGAGCTGGTATTTATTGTCGATTTCGCGGCGGACGACGTTGTAAAATTTCCTTGGTCCGTCCGGGATTTCTATCTTGAGAAGTCTATAGATGAAATCTGGTGGCCCTAGTAACATCTTCTCGTAACAATCGTGAAGTCGTACAAGTTGTGCCTCGAGCTCTTCTGTGGAATGAAAGCCATCGTCAAGACGTATGGGAATGACACCACAATATTCGTCTACTAATGGTTGGTTATATTAGTGACTGGTATTATTTTCGGATTGATGTATTTACTTTCTTCTTCAGTCAAGGTATCGATCCATGCATGTAGCACCTCAATCCGTGTCTTCAGGCCTTGAAGGGGATCAGTCGCGGCCTTTGGGGTTTTCTTGGGCGCATCTTCCGAATAAGAAGGGGACCTTTTGCGTTTGTTCAGTGGTAGGGTATCGATTTCTGTATCTGCTGGTGATTTCTCCAAGGGCATCTCCTTAATTGTGTTTCAAGAAGTGGGCGGTGTGTTCAATGTTTATCTCTCGAAAGTTGGGAACGAATAGTGGCGTATGGAACATTCCTAGGATAAGAGTGACCCTAGTGAGACATTTCTTCTGATTCTAGATGTTCAACGGATTTAGGAGAGCCACATGAATTCGTAATTTTCTTGCTTCTACTAAAAGTTGCTCTTAGATAGTGCCCTCAATGGAAGCGAAGAGTCACTTTGGGTGTTTCTTACCGAAAATGAGAACGCTGTCATGTGAGCCCAATTTGGCCTTACTTAATCAAGAATTCCTTCCGTTATAGGATGTGTTTTGCGTATCGAGGGTGACTAATCAAGCTTGTATATATTGTTTGATCTATTCGATTACTTATCTATAATAATAATAAATCTACTAATTATTATTATAAGCTTATAAAGAGTAGTTTCTTATTAAAAGGCTAGTCCTTTTGTTAAAATTTAAAGTATACTTTTATTTAAAGTTTAATTTAATAATTCGATAAGATATTAGCTCTATAATAAACGGGCTCTAGTTTAGGTGGCCTACTTCTACTACTATTATAAAGATAATAACAAAACAACTAATTGCTACTAATTTAATAGGTATTATAAGGTTGATTATTATTAGTAAAATAACTAATTTTATTAAGAGAACTATTTAATATTCAGACTTTAAACCTTTTCTTTTATCTTTAATATATTTATAAAAGTAATGTACTAAATATTATAAGTTAATCGTATTTGGAGTAGAAGAATATAATCTACTATATAAATAACTTTATAGTAATCCTTTAACTAGGATTATTATAAGAATAAATACTTAAGTTTAAAAACGATTATAATAGATTTATAATAGTTCTTGAAATACTTTAAAAAAAAGTAAAAGAGCGTAAAAGGAACTCGAGTTAAGGTTCTAGAATATATAATAAATATAATAGAATTTATATTAAGTATTCTATAAAATAAAGTAGTAAAGGTACTATAATTAACTATAAATATATTAGTAGGAAACTTACTTTTACTATAAAATATAAGAAAGTTAGTAGGGTTTCTTACCTTTTATACTCTATTAATTTAGCTTAGCTAGATATTTTATAAGAACCTTTAGAGCTATATTACTTTATTTCTACTAGTAGTAATAAAGTACTAGGCTAAGCGAATATTAATTAAGGCTTATTAGAATATTAAGTAGTAGTATAATATAGTTTAAGACTTTAAAAGTATTACTTTCTTTATAAAAGATAAAGTAGAAGTTTAATTATTTATAAATACTTTAATTTAAAGGGTGAAAGTATTTTATTTAAATAAATAAATAGATTAAAGAGATCGACCCTTAGAGATCTAATAATATATAGCGTTTATAAAGTTAATAAATTAAAAAGATAGTAATAATATATTTAATATAAATATTATAGAGATAGAAGTAATGAAGGAAGTATTTAAGTAGTAGGATTTATTCTAGTTAACTAAAAGAGTTTATTGTAACGAATACTCAAACTGGCTAACTAAACTTGGCTGGGTGTTCGCTGGTGTAACGAATACTCAAACTGGCTAACTAAACTTGGCTGGGTGTTCGCTGGTTGGTATGCTATGATAAGAAGAAGACTATCGGGTTGTTCACTTGGAAGTGAACTCGTTACTTGTATCAAAGATGTCAAACCAATATGATAAGATTGATAACTAAGTTGATAACTAAGTTGAGCACGAAGCTCCTATCTAATGTCAGACGTGCCAGTCTTATATAGAACCTTCGTTCTCNTTGATAACTAAGTTGATAACTAAGTTGAGCACGAAGCTCCTATCTAATGTCAGACGTGCCAGTCTTATATAGAACCTTCGTTCTCCCTAGGCCGTCAACTCGCCTGTCGAGCTGGCGGTCCAGATAGCCAGATCGCTAGGCGAGCTGGCGGTCCAGTATTAGTCACGTGATTACATACAAGAGAAATCCCTGGATCGCTTAGCTACCCCAAACGATCCCTATTTGTTATAAGAAACCTGGATGTGCCTGTCGAGGGTTGCGCCTCTTATTATGACAAGTATCACGTGAGCACGTGATTCGTGACATTTAGGTAAAAAATACCAAGCTGAATTTTGATTTTTTTTCTTTCAGCGGAACAACAGCTTCATTCAGAGGCAACGCGAAAGTCGCCGTCCATGTTATTATTGGATGAACGAGTTTAAATGCGAGGAAAGAGACCGCTTAATTTTACGGAATTTGTGTGGGTAAGCGAGTCTACTTAGGGACTTTCATCTTCGATTGCAGTTGAGTATTTGGGACAGAAGTTTTGCTTTAGCAACTAATACTTCTATGCCTGGATTATTTTTGTAATTCAATTTGTGTGCGTACGGTGCTCAAGTCTTCAAAACTCCCATTTCGTCACAGCTCGCTTATTACTAAGGGCCTGTTTGGCTCGGGCCTTGCACCGGGGTGCACCATACAAAATATGGGTGTACAACCCTGATACGAGCTTAACTTGTAACGAGTTACGGAATCGTTTGGCTTGTAACCAGTTGTACAATAAAGGTACTCGTCCGAATGCAAAATCTGGGCTTAACTCGAGTACACTATATAAACCTGGCGATGCGAAAAAATCCTGATCTAATATGTACACTCTCTGAACTCGCTTAGTACACTTAATATTAATACTACTTGAGTACCCTTTATATAGCCCCTCTCCCCCTTATATACCCCCCTAATGAAGACGTTATATATATTATAGAGGAGTAAAAAACTATTATTTATAAAAATCGGTTATAAAAATTCCTTATTTGAGCTAAATAGTATTTTACTAGAGAGTACACTTAAGTGTACACTCGTTCGGACTTGCTAAAATCACTCGAGTTTTGTAAAAAGTAGGTTACGCCTCCGTGAACTCGCTTGCACGCGCATCTGAGCTAAACCCCACCTTAGTTCTGCTCTCACAATTGGCATAGAGTTTCTCGTTGAAGCGTTTTCATGATTTTCTCCAGGAAGGTAAATTACAAGTATTTAGGCTCGTGGAAAGCTAACAAAAAGCATCGTAAGTTACCAGCATGATTGCGCAAATTTTAAGAAACAAATCATGGGCTTGGTGAAAGCAATATTACATTTTATTTCCTGGGCTGGATACTAATATTTGATGGTCGAAACTCACTCTGAACTCTGGATTTTCTCGACTCTGACTGGTCAGCGGCAATTCCTTGTCATGTGCCTTCGTGATTGCTTGGCATCAAAAGAGAAAGTCGCGTTCCCTGAACAACAGATCAAGAGTATTTACAACCTCCATTCACGACCTCCAAGATTGCCCGACTCCTACACAATTCGCGCAATTGCAATCACCTGACGATTTTGTTTTTCTCTAGATTGGCATGAGTTGGCGCGATTCAATCCACGTCTGCTTTGTTTAATGCGCCTGAGTCTGATCACAAGCTAATACCCCTCGCCACTCGCAACAATGGCTACCATCACGATTGATCTGATTTCCAGTAGTCCGGCTGTAAGTCCCATCGTACCGCAGAGAACGAAACAACCAATGGCTACATCTCGCGCTTCCTCGCATAAACCACCGCCAGCCAAGAACAATGGATACCTTTCACTTTCTGACGACGACGATGACCCATTCCGATCCTCACCTGATAAAGGCACAATTCCATCCACGTTTCCCTCGTCAAAGCCAAATGTAACCAAGGAATCGCGGAAAAAGACAAAAGAGCAGAAATATTACATCCTTTCCGATGACGATGTTGAAAGCAACATTATTGCGAAACCGCAACCAACAAAAGCCATACAAGAGAAGGATCCCTTCTACTTTCTCTCAGACGATTTTGATGGCACGGCAAATTTCGACAATTCATTCGCAAATAATGAGCCGTCAACGAAAAGACGTCGACTTTCATCCTCACCCGAGCCTTCCTTGCCTAAAGCACCTCGAGCCCGCGATTCTACACGATCCCTTTCGAATACCGAAGCGTCCAAGACAAAACCATCACAAAAAAGAACTGCGACAGGGTTACAAAGATCTAAAACGGCTGGTGCAATTTTGGAGTCCGATCCTCTTATATTTACAAGTTCACCAGATCCATTTGATGGAAAGAGAAAGAAGCAAAGTCGGGCGCGCCTAGAGACAGTTGAGGACGAGGACGAATTTGCAAGCCTGGGCTCTGATGAAGAATTTCCCGATCTTTTGACATTGCGCTCGACTGCCTCACAGTCTCAGAAGAATTCCAAGGCGGCGTTGCGAAAATTCAAGGAAGCAAGAGAAGCAGAAAAGACAGGAAAGCCAATATCCATACCAATATCCAAGCCGAAACCAAAGGTTACAAGTAGCAAGAGCACGTCGAATATGACCGTGGAAGAGAAAGCTGAGGAGAAGGAAAGGAAAGCCAAAGAAAAGGCCGAGGGAGCTGAAAAGAAACTTGCTGCAAAAGAGGCGGAGAAAGAGCAGAAGCGATTGGCAAAAGAGCAGCAAGCCCGAGATAAAGCTCTTGCGGCTGAGCTCGATAAGGTCAACACACTTAAGATTGATAAGAAGGTCACCGCGCCAGAGATGGTAATTCAGTTGTCCTGTTCGATTGACGCTCATATCAATGCCCAAATCAGGAAGTTGGCCGAGCAGTCTGGCATTGATGTGGAAGAGTATCAGGATATCCAACCGCTTGTAAAGTGGAAGAGGAAGGTGGAATCGCGCTACAATGACGATGCGGGACAGTGGGAAACTGTACCGAAGCACATGAAGCAAGAAAATCATATCATTTGTTTGATGAAGGCTAAAGAATTTGTTGCCCTCTCTCTAGGAGAAGAAGGCAGTGATTTGGATGCGCATGCTTTGAAAATTAGAACGAACTATCCAAGCCACCAAATTGTTTACATGATTGAAGGGATTGCCGCATGGATGCGAAACAACAAAAAGGTACAGGCGAACCAATTCGCAGATGCTGTCAGAAGTCACGCACCAAACGCAGAAGAGCCAACCACCAGTGGAAGAGCACGGAAGAGGAAGACCGCCGAATACGTGGATGAGGGTATGATTGAAGATGCTTTGCTTAGACTGCAAGTTGTACATGGCATGTTGATTCATCATACGGATGCCAAGATTCAGACAGCGGAATGGGTCGAGATATTTACTCAGTATATATCTATTATTCCCCGCAAGTAAGTATCTTCTGATGACATGTTACTTACCATAAATATTACCCCATATCTCCCGTTCATCGCTGATTCCCTCGCCCTAGACGCCAACAAGAATCCCACAACGCTGCCTTCTGCATGGAAAGCGGCCAAATCAAATCGGGCAATGATACACCCGACACCTTCAACAAGATCCTTCAACAAATAATACGCATTACCCCGGGAATCTCGCAGGCCATCGTTGCGGAACACAAAATAGTACAGCGTCTTGTTCAAGCTTTTGAGGACGAGGGACCGGGTGCTGTGAAGGATTTGTGTAAAGCTACCAACAAAAATGGTGGGTTTGCAGATAAGAAGGTAGGACAGGCGGCTAGTAAGAGGATTTTCAATGTTTTTATGGGGAGGGATGAGAAGAGTTTTGATGTTTGATGGGAACTAGTGTAATTATCATTGCAGGAGTTTGATGGATTGCTTCGAGTGGTGGCTCTCGTTTAGGCTTTTGTTTTCCAGAGCTTGACTCTGCTTTTGTAGTTGGTTGGTTGGCCTGTCGTATTTATTTGCGAGGCGCCACGCAAGACAGGGCGCCGAGGGCAAGGAGATTCGAAGGTATGGTATGAATGTAAACGACTATGATTTTCCATCGATATGATACTAGGTGCTTCGACCTCGTAGTATTATACCTTCAAAAATGGTCCTGATGTTGATTGACTCCCCTTTCCTCTACCGCTTGCTTAAACTATTAACGAGCCTACAGGTAAACGCTGAGTGAGAAATTGACGTTGACTGGCCGGTGCGAGATCAGGCTTCAGCTTTCATGGTTTGTTCAAATATAGTGTAACTCATGATTTCCATGGTAGCTCTTGGTACAGAATGTATTGTTAATAGTGTACTTGTACGGTAACAGTTGCCGAGATCGGTTTCCTATTTGGTGTAAGACGCGTCCTATACGGAAAATAGTCAGCTTTGTACACAAATTCTTGTAAGCTGATCGCTTCAGGCTATGTTCAATTTAAGAACGGTGTGACGAATTCTGATTTTCATGTTGTTTCTCACTTACAGTAGACAACTGTGATGGGCAGTGTAATATGTTCCAGTTGAGGAAACGTTGGAGTACCCTCTGTAGTGATACAGCTCGGAGTGAGATGTCCCAGCAGCCGAGTATGTACTCATATTCACCATGTGACGAATAACTCCCCCTTTTTATTCTCAAGGATGGTTGAGGTAGTCGCAAAGTAGATGGCTGGATTGAGTTTTGTGGTAATGAAGGGAAAGCTTGCTTTCTGCTTCTTGTTCCACCTCGTCTCTTCCAATTCGATACTTTCCGCTGTCGTTGATGGGATTTTAATTAGAGGAGATAGGTCATATTCCCCTCGTACAAATGTTGAGAAGCAAGTAAATATTCTAAAGTATGGGTTCTACGTCATCTTCGAGCAGGGGTGTGATTTTTGAGTGAGAAGTGGGCCTTTTGTGCTCGTGGCCAATCAGAATCTCTGAATGCACTTTGAAGAAACAGGGGACCTGGCCCGCTAAGACTTACAAGCAAGAAAGTGCTCCCAGTACCGGCGGAGTAGCACTGCCTCAAACCACGCATTTCTGTGACGAGCACATCTCACCCAACTACCCCGCATACGTATACGCGATATTTTTTGCATCATAAATTCTACTACGGTCTCCTCCGACACGCCGATTAATACGAAGGACGGAGTACAGTAAGAGCACAAAGAAGGGTCGAAGGGTCCAAGGTCAGTGGCTAGACCACGTACTGATCCAAGCTGGATGGTGCAGTGCCTCGCAACATCCAACCTCCCCAACCCGGAGACTGGCAAACCCCTTTGACATCCGCAAAACTCGATTCTTGGCCGAAACTTATAGTTTCGCAATCGCATCCTTTCTGCGCTGATTTGATCCGGCCAAATTGTGTTCCTTGGGAATCTCGTCGACGCGTACGCTTGCAAGCATGTCGGATGTAGGAGAAGGGTACGCAATTCTGCCATATTTGTTGTTAAACGTGCACCTTACCCCGCTACCAAATGTTGGGAGGGGGAAAGGTGGCAAGGGGAAGAGCGAGAGCAGGAACAATTTGATATACTAACATCATGCCCTATCTTAGTAGTCTCACCCATAAACGGAGCAAGTCCTCCGCCCTCTCGAAACTTCGACGAGGAAAGGGCGATGAGCGAGATGGACCACTGCCAGATGACGCCTCCACGTCGTCCCTTCCCTCGGGAGCCATGTCTCCAAGCTTGTCTCACCCCTCCTCGCGAGGCCACGCTTCGAAACCATCCACAGGCACGGCGGGCATGATGCGATCAACGTCCAGTCTACAGGTGCAAAGAAATTCCTTGATCTCCCCCCCGAGCGCCCCCGCAATGCAGGACAAAACGGTGTCGATTGAGCAATCGGTGCGAAAGTTTAGGATATTCGAGGCATTGAGAAGTGGCGATACGGCCTCCATCTCGAAGGCTCTACGAGAGACGGATGCAAGTGCACATCGCATGAGCACATCCACCGTCTCTGGTGTTGGGGCTTCTGGCGCTCTGGAGGATACGACCATACTGCATCTGGCAATTCAATGCGCGGAGCATCCTGTGATTGAATACATTCTGTCTGACGGAGCTGGCTCGATTGATGTCAACGCAAGAGATAAGGAAGGGAATACGGCTTTGCATTTGGCAGCACAACAAGGACGCGGACCTGCTGTTCGATTACTTTTGGAGCAGGAGGGAATCAATGATTCGATTGCAAATTACCATGGCCGTTTACCCCTTGATCTTGCCCGAACACCTGATATTTTCCAGCAACTACAACTATCCCGTTCAATATTTGTCGATGGAAAGATTAGGCAAGTACAGGCTTTGGTTCAACAGGGAGATTACACAAGACTAGGAGAAGTGCTGGAAGAGCCCCGTGTGAAGACCGTTCTGGACATCAATGGAGGGGAATTTGCATCTGATATTACAACTATACAATCCGGGGGTACTCTGTTGCACGAAGCTGCGAGAAAGAAGAATACTGCGTTGATCGAGGTTCTACTTCGCCATGGTGCTGATCCATTTCGCCGGGATCGAAGAGGGAAACTGCCACAGGACGTTACCAAGGACGACAACACGAGAGCGATGCTCAAGAAATCGCCTGCAGCGGTGGCAGCACAACGTGGGATACAAGAAAAGGCCGTTCTAGGAAATGCATCTCAGCAAGCTTCACACGCTCCTCCCGGGGACGCTCTTGCAGGAAAGGATGGTCGAGAGATGAAAGGGTATCTTAAAAAGTGGACAAACTATCGGAAAGGATATCAATTGCGTTGGTTTGTGCTTGAGGATGGGGTAATGAGCTACTACAAACATCAAGACGATGCCGGTTCTGCTTGCCGAGGAGCAATCAACATGCGAATCGCGAGCCTCAATATGGATCCTACTGAGAAGACCAAGTTCGACATTATTGGCAAATCCTCTGTCAAATATCATTTGAAGGCCAATCATGAAGTTGAAGCCAAGAGATGGTTTTGGGCACTGAATAATTCCATCCAATGGACGAAAGATCAAGCAAAGGAGGAAGAACGACAGAGGCATAAGAGTGCAGAACTTCTTAGGCAAGCAAAGGCTGAGCATACTAACCCTTCCACCTCTGACCTCGTACCTCCTGGAGGCGAAATGAGTGATCGAGACGCACGACGAAGCAGCTTTCAATCTACCCACAGTCGCCTAATACCACAACCAAGCAAAAATGGAAGCAGCAGCAAAGTAGCATTCAACACAGGAAGTGTGGCGGACGACGATGATGGCACCGCATATGGATCTTATGATCCAAGTTATATGGGTGAGACCAAGGCCACAAGTCAAGGACCTTCACCTGATGGCGATGATGAGGAAGACTATGGTGAAAATGATGGATCAAGCGACCGTGAACAGCCTGTTGCAAAGGATGCGTTTGATATCATTGCTCAGTCAGCGAAGCTGCAGTTGGATATGATGGGGCAGGTGAATGCAGCATTGCAAAGCGAGCAACTACGGAACTCATCGCTGTCTATCGGCGATCCTCTGGCTCTTCAAGCCGTATCAACATACGACTCCTCTATCCGTAATCTGAAGGGTCTTGTTGGGGATTTACTCAAAATATCCAAAGACAGAGACGCATACTGGCAATACAGACTTGATCGCGAGGCAGACATGCGTCGTATGTGGGAAGAAAGTATGGCCAAGGTAGCCCACGAGCAAGAAATACTCGAGGCTAGAGTCGGCGAGGCAGAGGAAAAGCGAAAGATCACCAAGAGAGCTCTTCGTGAGGTCATCAGTGGTAACGCACCTATAACCAGTCGACCTGTTAGTCGTGGCGAGGCGGATGCCGAAGAAGTCGTCGCTGAAGCTCTTGAGGAGGTTGGTATGGACAATGAGGTTACTGCCCCTAGTGCTGTCACACGCAAGTCTTCAGCTTCGGTCAAGAGCGCTACTCGTCAACAGTCGGTATTGAATCAGATTACCAACTTATCCGACTCTGAATCCGAGGATGAAGAGGAGTTCTATGATGCTGTAGATGCTGGCGAAATTGAACTTGCGTCGATGCCTGCCGTTAGTGTTAAGGATCAGAAAGGAAACCGCCCTGAAGTAGGCGCACTTGACCTTACTTCTTCATTCAGTGGTTACGAAGATGGTATTCGCAAGAGACTTAAGATGGATGCCGATGACAGACCTAAGATATCCTTATGGGTAAGTCACGATCCATAATTTATTGTCCACAAGCTAATTTCCTTGCAGAGTATTCTCAAGTCTATGATTGGTAAAGATATGACAAAAATGACCTTACCCGTCTCTTTTAACGAACCTACATCTTTACTTCAACGATGTGCAGAAGATATGGAATATGCCGATCTTCTGGATATCGCTGCCGAACGAACTGATTCTACAGAGCGTATGGTCTACGTTGCAGCATTTGCAGCAAGTGAGTATGCCTCGACCATTGGCCGAGTTGCAAAACCTTTCAATCCTCTATTGGGTGAGACGTTTGAGTATGTACGACCAGACAAGAACTATCGTTTCTTCATCGAACAAGTCAGCCATCATCCACCTATTGGTGCAGCCTGGGCAGAATCTCCAAAGTGGACTTACTATGGAGAGTCTGCTGTCAAATCCAAGTTCTATGGAAAATCTTTCGACATCAATCCTCTTGGGACGTGGTTCTTGAAGCTTCGACCCAGTGGCTCAGAGACCGAAGAACTGTACACCTGGAAGAAAGTAACGTCCTCAGTCATTGGTATCATCACAGGATCACCTACTGTTGACAATTACGGCCCAATGGAAGTCAAGAATTGGAATACCGGTGAGGTTTGTGTCATTGATTTCAAAGCCAGAGGATGGAAAGCATCAAGTGCCTACCAAATCTCCGGACGAGTCAACGATGCAGATGGTCAAACACGATATAGTATCGGTGGACGCTGGAACAGCAAAATGTACGCTCGTCTCACACCAGGCTATGAAGCTACTCCAGAAGAGCCGAAAGCAGGTCGTGGTAATGATGCCTCTCAAGCATTCCTCGTATGGGAAGCCAATGCTCGACCAACTGGAATCCCGTTCAATCTTACGCCTTTCGTCGTCACACTCAATGACTGCAACGACAAGTTGAAACCTTGGTTACCGCCAACCGATACGAGACTCCGACCCGATCAAAGGGCTATGGAGGATGGAGAGTACGAATTCGCTGCTACGGAGAAGAATCGGGTTGAGGAGAAGCAGAGGGCTACCCGACGGAAGAAGGAGGAGACTGGGGAGGAGTTCAAGCCGAAGTGGTTTGAGAAGGATGTGTGTCCAGTCACTGGGGAGAGTTACTGGAAGTTTAGTGGGAGATATTGGAGTGAGAGAGAGAAGGCACTTACTGGGGAGGTATGGAAGGAGGTTGAGGAAATATTTTAGAGGGATGCGAGGAAAAAAGGGGTTTGTGGATAGGATCGGGTATGTATGGATATTGAATATATGTCTTTTCTTCTATCTTTTGGAGGGACTTGGTAATGGTTTGGTGGATGGCTGGATGGGATGTGTATAAGGCATCAGTTCAGCTCTTTCTTGGGCGTGTCTGTAGTCATAGGACTTTTTCTTTTTTTGATGGCTTTTTACACTTCTCGGTTTGATACTTATGAATGAATGACTTGTTAGCGTTGAGTGGTACTTGAGACTTAAGACTTGAGAATTATGAGGTTACTTGTTTTAAGGAGTACTAATTTTGAAGACCACTTTAAGAATTCTGGTTCGCCGATCGAGTGTCATGGCAGCTTTTAAAGGTCACCTAAACTTAGGGGGTGTTTGGCTACGCAAATCTCTCCATGCAAACAGGTGCAAAAGTCGAAGATTTGGACGGGCTGGAGGACCTTAGGGCCTGTTTGGCTCGCATAAGTTAGGCCTGCATATTAGGTACAAATTTAAAACTTTGCTACTTTTTCGATAACCCTAAGACCCTGTATATATCTTTCTAGTTTTATAACTAATTTGTAATAATCTAACAAAACAAATACACTACTATTTAGCTCGTCATATAAGTTTTTTTTACTTTATTATATATTCGACGATTTACGGACTAGCTCTTAGTACCACTAAATTTTAGTCTACTACTATAATTTAGTTAGTTCTACTACCTGAGTACTTATATAAGTAATATTCCTATTCTTTATAGTACTTCTTCTTTTTATTATCTAACTTTAATCTATCTTTTATCTATATAATATAGGTTATAAAAAGAAAGCCTAGGTTCCTATACTACTAGGAGTATTATCCTAGGACTCGTCTAACGACCCTACAATAGATTCTACTTAAATACCTCCTTCGGAAAAACCTACGTAAGTAACGTAAGTAAAGTAAGTAACGTAAGTAAAGTAAGTAACGTAAGTAATATAATATAAGCTACTTAAGCTACTAGTTTATTAAAAAGGGTATATACTACCTAGTTAAAGGATAATATCTTTACTCTAACTTATTAGAGTTTGTTTATAAGAAGAGAGAAGATAGCGAAGTAAAGGAAGGTAATTTTCTAGAGAGACTATAGAATTAACTCGGACGTTAATATAAACCTATAAAACAAAGCTATACTTATTAAGCTAGATACTCAAATTTAACTTAGGATTTTAAGGTTATATATAAATTATATAAGAACTCTAGGTTTAGATAGAATAAGGATTACTCTATTATAACTACTACTAAACCTATCTAGGACGATTATATTAAAGTAAACTATAATTTCTTCTATTTATAGATAGTTCATATATATATAAAGAAATATTCTAAAGTAAAGCTATAGAAAAAGAAGAGCTTTTTTTACTATAACGTTATAGTTAAGCTTAATTATAAGAAGATAGCTATTAGTAAATATAGTTACTTTAAATATTAAAAGGATTCTAATAAGTATAACTTTTTAGAGGATTCGGAGTCTAATAAATTAGAGACTAATAATTCGACTAATTCTAATACTGTAGAATCTAAAGATATAGGTAACTTAATACTCGAATAAGTAGGTATTCTAATTAATCTTATACTAAATTAGTAATAAAATATAGGTAACTCTATTACTATAGAACAAAGCTAGGATTTAATAGCTTAGGTTAAACTCTATAAGATACACTATAGTAGTAAAGATAGTAAATTATATAAGAAATATAAGAAGTAAAAGAAAGCTTAAAAGAATAACTTAATAAATAAGATATCTAAGGATAGGAATGCTACTAAAAATAACTTATTAAATATACAAAAAGAAGTAATAAATCTACTTAAATTAAATAAGATAAATAAATAAAATTTATTAAAGGATCTACTACCTATTAAAAGAAAGAGAGTTTTAGGACCTAAGAGTATATTAGATATAAGTACAAGTATTACCTTAATTATAAGGTATCTAGGAGTAGCTCTCTAGGAACTACGCTAGAAGGTAGATAAATTATTATATAAATAAGCGCTAATTGTGTGACGGAGCTGGATTTCATTTGACAGGATTTCATTCGCTTGGCCAAGCACGTGACGAGACTTGGCATTGGAACAACTTAAATAACTTCGCTCCTTTCAGATTCTCTTCTCTCTTTAGTTTGATTTCTTCGTACCTACGGTTTTAGTTCTAGCAATTGATTCAAAAGCTGTATACACTTTATCCTTTGTTGGCATCCGTGACATATACTAGATATATAATAATAAAAGAATGGCTTAGTACATTCTTATATACTATAGTAAGTAATTTATTCTTATATAAAATCGCTAAGCGCTTTTAAAGGTAAATAAATCCTTATAATCTAATTAGATATCCGCTTACTTATTCTAGGACTACTAAGATAGTTTAGTGTACTTATTATAAAGTAGTATATATAATACTTTCTAATAATATTTATAACTTCGCTATTGCTAAATTAGACCTAGCTTAAATATCTTTTAAACTTAAACTTAATTTAAAGATGATATTAAAGTAATTAATAAAACTTATATTTTTATTATACTACCTTATAAAGAGAAATATTACTACCTAGTAAACTAAAGACTAGAGACTACTAGAAATGTACTAGAACCTATAATATCCTTTAATTTTCCTAGTAGAGACTAAGTTATAAGGTAGGGGGAGGAATACTACTAGGGCTAAGCGATAGAAAAGTAGTAGAAACTAGAAGAAACTTATAAGGTACTATCCTATATAACTACCTTAATAATAGTATACGTTACTTTAGCTATAATATTTCTAGTAGATACTAGTTAGTTGTAACGAATACTCAAACTGGCTAACTAAACTTGGCTGGGTGTTCGCTGGTTGGTATGCTATGATAAGAAGAA